AACAGGACCTATTTGAATTTTTACTGACCCTCGGTCGATTTCAATTCGTTGTTCATCGGCAACCACTGCACGGAAAGCTAAGCCTACCCCTTTTAGTCGGGTTTCGAGCTTCATTATGTGTCCAGACAGATTGAGTTGTTCTCTAATGTTCCTTCATCGGGTTAATAGAAAGTGACGCTGGTTGCTGCTTGCGTTCATTTGATAATTGGTGAACTAGATTGTTCATGATGGAGTTTCTATTCTCTTGCTAAATCACGTTTTCAACGTCCAGTTCCAATTCTGTGGTTGCCGACTTCCCGAAGTCAGAAGTAGTCAAGAACAGAGCGAAAGTTGCATTCAGAGACGAAAATATTCGTCCTGGATCCAAGTATATGAATGAAAAGACAAACAATTACGGGAAACGCATGCCTGACGAGCGGCAAGGACCGCGAAACCGTTCGTTTGTTACCAGGGAAATTTCGTCTAGTGAATTATATAATACGATATATATGTATTTCAAGAGAGAATGGAGGCGTACAGTGAGTTGTAAAATGTTTATTGTAACGTTTCGATCCAAACTAGGACTCGTTGTCAAACATAAATGAAATGAATGAAATAATGGGATTACCGTCTTTCCGTGCGCCTGTGTGCTGTTTGTACGTCTATATATATANTATATATATATATATATATATATATATATATATATATATACTGCCCTTCAGTGTTCTGGAAATTGTGACCAACAACGGATATCGGAGGGTTCCAGGGCAGGGGCGACCAATAAGATTGAACGATTAGAGGACTCACTTAACTTCACGTAACGTTCAACGAAATTTCCGGAGTCTTCGGTGGTTTCGTTTTTTTCACGGAAATATACAGATTTTCATGGAAGATTTGTACCTTCCTGCCAGCCTCCTGGTTAGAGAACATCGGATATTGGTTACTGGATCGCTGCTTTACGTCTAGATATTCTTACATGAAATTCTGTTTTTTTTTCAACCAAGGGACTAAAAGTAAAATGAACACATCTAATCATAAATCGAGCTGAGCTGCTAAAACACTCGATTCCAGTGATCACTCTACCATACAATTCTGTTATGTACCTCTACCGTTTTCCACTCAGCGATTTCAGCCCACGCTTCATTAGCTTCGATCCACGCTTCGTTTGCCTTGCGCGTGGCTTCGGTCATTCGCCTGTGTAGCGATTTGCCTTGTAAATATGGAGAATAACCGGACTACTCATTCGCGGTTGTCTTTCAACCCGTTTGATGGCACTGCACATATTGGGATTGAAACGAATGCACACTTACAGTCTCTGGAACTCGAAATGATTTGTTCCACCCACTACCTGTTTCAGCAAACATGGCGCTTCGTGGCAACCTATTTGGTGACATGCATTAAACATAGTCCAACCAACCTAATCTATAGAGGTCGACCACTTGTTCCAGTGGACAACTACGAGTACCTAGAACTCTGCGCCTAACCAGCATCAGATTTGCGCAGTGCTGCGCAAACGGCAGTATTCAAACACTGACAGTTTATCATTATCCTGTTTTCCTAATGGCCAAGTTTTTACGCCATATAGCAGAACTGGGTGAACTGCCGCAGCATACACTAGACCCTTCATTGACAGCCGTGTGTCGCGGCGGCGCCATAAATGTCTCAAATTGGCAAATGCCGATCAAGCCTTCTGTATGCGGACTGGCACTTCGTCCGTGATGCATCCATCGGATGAGAAATAGCCCAAATAATAAAACTTGTCCAATTGATGTATTACTTCCTAGGTTAGAGAGAGGCTGGTTGCTGACCTAACCCAGTCTTGTAACGTTTTACACTTTGGAAGTGCAAAGATCATACCGAACATGGCTACGCTGGCACTCAAGCTATCCAGAAAAGCTTGCAACTTACCTGGATCTTCACAATATCGTCAGACAGTCTGTCACCTGGGGGCAAATCGATTCCGCTATCCTAGCTAGAGGATAGAGTTGTTTCCATAATTAACTTCATAAAAAAGTTATACAGGTAAGGAGAGAAAGGGCAATCCTGACAAACACCACTTTCCGTGGTGAGATCGGGCACAAAAGTGCCGTAAGCACGGACTCGGCTTCGGCTATTAGTATAAAGGGATCGTAATATTCAAATAAACTTTTCGGGCACACATTTCAGCGGAAGGTAGCGCAATGTCGTCTCTTAGTGGTTCACCGACCCGTTTATAACCTCGGCTTTTTTGTCCTATCACTCCGCCAGGACAAGGCAGTGTGTAGGGCTTCCTCAGCAGAGGTTATTTGAGATGCCTAATCGTACGGGAGCATTTCGCGAGGGGGGGGGGGGGGGGGGGAGGGATGTACAAATACAATCCGAGGCACCCACCCCGTATCATAGAGAGGTTTTCGGAGACTAAGGCAATCAGTCGCTGATTGCAACCTACCCTTGTTCATTTGTTAAACCTTAGGTGAACCTGGTATGTTGTAAAGTTTTGGTGTGATAGGACCTTCTGTGCAATAATGCTAACTGGTCAGTTTTCCAAACGCTTTCAAGTTGCAAACCAGGTTAGTTTTGCTGGTGAGGATACAGTAATGCGCCATGTGACCCCTGTTGCCAGTTGGGGCCTTAGATGAATTTTAAATGTTCGTGTTTTGTCCTGTTTTCGATATAACATGGAGTACTCACTTGGGCACTGTGCCCACACCACTCGAATGGATTGCTACAATAAATCCACCGAGTCGGGATTGTATGATAAGCAGGTTTCAAGTACCGGCCGACGTGAAAACAAGCTAACTCCTTCCGAATAGGAGAATAGGAAAATTGTCCCATATCATTTCGGGTTTTTGTTTCTACTGAAACGTTTACACGTTTGAGCGCAATTTTTGTTTACCATACTATTGAGTCGGCGAGTTTTCAACGGGGTCTGATGACTGAACAGCCCCTCAGTCAACTAGAAGGTTCACCTGTTGTCTCGAATTCCGGACCCCCGGGGCTGTCTTATTTCGGTTCGAAGGAGAATGTTGGAATTGATGCCTGTTGTCCATTGAGATTGATCGATTGATTAGTCAGCAAACAGCAGTTTTAATAACTAGGTCCAGTGATGTTGAATATTCGATTTTCTGGATCTCGTTTTTCCTTCTTACTTTCTTTTCACTCTCTGTAGCAGACACCGAATCGTCAGCTGTGTCACGGCCGTTCCCGATGTGCAACCTCTGTGACACACTCAGCCATGTTATTCCAGTACATTAAAGTTCGGATTGTCACAGGCAATAGGGGGCTATAGTAAAAGACGCATAAATTCCGAGAAGCGTCGACGCACCTCGGTTTTTATCGGAATCAAATTGACTTCAGAAACAGGCAAATGGTGAGAGTCCACATGCTCAACATTCAAATCAAGTCAAGTCAAGAAGCGGCTTTAATTCGCCCCATAGGGGATGAACATTCAGTCCTATTGAGAAACCTGAGTACGAATAACGATGGGCATATTTTTAGCGGCTGAAGGGATCAATCAAGTCGTAGCACAATGAAGTCGGAGCGTTGGTTCCCACAGGGGAACAGAAGTTAATGGCGAATTGCGTGATCTGTGACGTGACAAGAGCGTATCGTGTCCGACTAAACAATGCAGAGGTGGAAAATGACGCAGGAGGATTGGGAAAACATAAACAATAGTAGTACACAACGGCTGGTTTAAACCGATTGATAGAACAAGATACGCTTTCAGCAGCGAGCTTGTGTCAGCTGACACTGCGGGTAACGGGCATTATGTTTCACAGATCGTCACCGGACTACCCATTCTCTCGTCGACACCAAATGTTGGTACCTTCATGAATTTGGCGTTGATTACGATCATTCGGACCGATTTTACCTCTCCGATGCACGTATTCCGATCAATGGCCTATTTGGACGGGATAAAATTTCGAATAACCTAACATGTTACTTGATTTATTTGAGTAGTAGGAAATGAACTGATCGCAAACTGATTCAGCATTGTCGTCGTCGACCCCAGTTATTCTCCAGTTCGTCATGTGTTTGCTAACCCGGGGACCCTGCTTCTGGCCGTATTTATTAGTTGGCTTGACTCAGCCCACGCCCACATTCGGCTGATACGGTCGTTCACTTCCTATAAGGATTTAGATTGCGCTGATCGTCGATCTTGGCATTTGTTTCGGGGTATGGCGCTTACAATTAATTCCGCATGAGTGTGCCACAGTAGGACTAGAGGATATTTTTTGCAATATGTTGTCTTCCCTGCCATATTTCGGCTATCTTTTCGAAGAAAGTTTGCACGGTTTTGACCCGGCGCGGCTACAGAGTTCGGGAAGTGCTTCTTTGATGGACACTGTTTAAATACAGGTTATATCAAAAAGGTCCTTCAGTTAGTCTGATTAAAGCACAGGTGCTTCCAATAAATGCATGATGGCGGTCAAGGGGTTTGCGTATGATACTTTCCCAAACGTGTCACTATACAACCATGATTCTGAAATCAGCTGGTCATTGTGCATATCGAGTTGTGGTAAACAAGTGCGTTATGTTCTTTTTTAACGTCTCAAGCAACCGGAGCCTCACAGAATTGTCCGTTCTTTGGTGAACAATGAGCAAGTGTCTATTGCATTTTGGATCACATAGCCAAGCTTTCATTTGCATATACTATTCTGTTTCAGTTGTGCTCCGTAGCGGGAATTGAATTTATGCAGAGTTGGATACTGTTGCTTAAGATATTTTTATGCGCGAAACACGTACGTCTAACGAGTACCTACGTATGTGCTGGTTTAACCTTCTGTTCGGCAGCGGAAGTGGTTAACTCCTCAATTCAGCCATTTTGTCAGTTGCAATTATTAAGCGTATATCCTTTTGATAGTCTCTTTAAAAAGGACGTCGAATATGGTTTTCGTAACTGGTTTGTTACATTGGATTGCCACTTCGGTTGAGGTTGAAATGCTGCAATCTGATGACTAAGTTGGTCGAAAAAACGAAACGTCAAGTTTTCTGTTTGTTAGGTACCACTAATAAAACACTAGTCATGTTCTATCGCAATGTTTTCTATTTTTCCGTTGCAGGAAGATCCGGCGCAAACTACAGTTGATGTGCAACAGTTACGTGACAAAATTCAGTCACTTTCTTCTCAGAAAACCAATATAGAACGCGAAATTCAGTCGCTGAGTGGCATACTTTCAGAGGTATGTGAATTGGTCTTCTGTGGGTTGTCTGGATCACCAGTTGATGTATCTGTGAATAACCACACCAAGCTGTTCTATCTCTTCCGTTCAACGTGGTATTCACTACGAATGTGCTCGAAACTACACACGCACCGGTTTCAGAACAAGTATGATGTCAGCACAATAAAATCGTAAAATGATTAATTGGCGTAGCATGAGGAAAACTAGTTTAAATACAATCGGCAGGTTTTGGGTTGTCAACGTGCAGGTCTTGACGTTTTCTTTATTTGTGTATGCTTCTACGCCACTGAAGATTTCGATTGACAGACTATTCGCTATTTGTGCTACTGACTTCTATTCTGAGCCACATCTCTCTGCGGCTGTATATTTTAACGTACGTCTGAGTTAAGGTTGTGCGAAAAATTCACGGTACAATAATCTTCATAAAAAGAACAAATTCAGTGATTTTTAACACACATTTGTCTAATGAACAGCAGATGAAGTGAATCCTATAGTCGTAAAGATTTGCTATTCAGTGATGGAAGCTGGCAACCTAAGTCGCGAGAATCGGCTCACATAAAATCCCGCTAGGTTAGGTCCTCGTGACTATGGGGGACCGCCCCGTCTGCTGTTCATCACACTTAGGTGTGTAAAAAAATAGTATTGAAGCAACTTCCAAGGCAGCAAATCGGTGTGTGACAACCACAGTCCATGGTATACCGTTGTCCAATGCATTGGATTGTGCGCGGTTTGAACGGGATCAAACGTCCTCATGCCCAATGTNATGTACCCCGATACCCGATTGACCCGGTGAGCATCGCCACCGCCAGAGAGCTGTGTCCAGTTTGTATGCCTCTTCTTGGTTCGTTTGGAATCAGGGTTTTCAGCCAATTGCCGTTCGTCGCTAAGATACGTCAATCTCCATTCGTCGCCTCTTAAACCTGAAGACGGGTTGCACTAGCCCAAGTCTGTGCCCATGTCGGTAGTTATTGTCACACAGGTTCCTGTCGGGTCTCGTTTGAACGATGCTTAGACGTTTCTTTGTCCTGCGGGATGAAATTACGCAGTGAAATACAGCGTCAGCGAGAAACACTAATACATATGGGAACTCTTTCCCCCGCGTTAAAATCTGCTCNCCGCGTTAAAATCTGCTCTTCTTGGTGTTTGAGTGCTTGTGTGTGTGTGTGTGTGTGTGTGTGTTTAGACAGGAAGTAATGATCATGTTTTGATGGGCATGTGCTTTTGTAGTTATTGCTGCTAGCTTTGCCAACTTTTGCGACTGCAGGTTTGTTATTCCTACAGAAATTTATTCGGTCATTATACCCTCTCCGGGTTTGCCTTTGTTTACATGGTTGTACAATGTTGATTCATCGCCTGACAATTCAAGAATCTGCTCAGTTTTCGAAAACTGCAAGTTTTCCCACGAAAATCTCGTATTATTTTACTATTTTTTACATACGTTGATTGCGTAATCGCGAATGGTTTGTTTGTCGTGTAATTGAACACCACCACATTACCACAGTAATTCGTTATCACAGTTGTTGATGCTTTAAATCACTAGTAAGATTTATTATTATAGCTGTCTGCAATGCACATTTCACCCAATGGAACTTTCATTTCAGAATGACCAAGTTGGTTTGAAGGGAAATTTACTTGATAACGAAGGATTTCCGCGAAATGATATTGATTTGGTGGCAGTACGAACCGCCCGAAATCGGATTATCAGTGAGTTTGATGATTCACAACCGATCACCTTGTTTGGGTGCTGTACACGATTTTACTCAAGAGTAGTATACCAAATGCAGCTCTGGCGATAGCAAAGCACGAATGAAGATTTGATGGGTAAAAGTGATTTTGAAATCCCCGGACGGTAAGGCGATGCGGTGCGTAGTACGGAGCTCCAAGGCATCAAAGGCCTTTTGGTATGGCAGAAAATAAGCATAACAAGGGTTTCCAGTGATCGGGTGATTGCTGTGTGGGATCCTACTTACACAAGCGTTCAGATGCAGCTAAGCTAGCTAACTCAAGGCGAGAGGAATGTATGAACAGTGGGTTCTGGACGATATGAATAGACTCATTTAGGTCTGCCCATAACTAAGCATGTGGCTGCCTCCATTGTCTCCGGAAGCTCATTATTGGAGCCTCAGAATGAAAGGAGGTGGACCAAAAATAGAAAATTTTTATTCATCTATGCAGAGAAGAAATCTAGTTTTCTGGTGTAGTAATCTGAAAATTCGTGGTCCCGACCGCTACAAACTCCCTTAAAGATGTCATGAATTGTGAATGAGATTACGATTCTTTTCTTTCTTTGCCCATATGCTGTTTAGAGATGTTTCTTCTCAGTTGTCCTGGCTAAAGAGCCTCGGGGTCCCCACCCAAAGCTTTTGAGTAGAAGTTCAAACATGTAACTCATCAAAATGAATTCAGAGTCCGTAATCCAAAGGAGAACGGTGTTGAGTTCATTGAACCGTACGCTACTTCGATAGGATCAAACGTCCAAGTTATCTAATACGCCCCCCCCCTACGTCCATTCAGGCCGGTGACCGCTACAAAGCCGGTGAAGCCATTGGTATGCTTCGTACTTCTCTTCTGAGTTGGTCTGGATTCTGGGCCGCCAGGTTATAACTCTGGATGTTGGTTTTACATCATCTCACTTTAGTAAGGGCATTGAGCAAAGCTTTCTCAGTAGAGGCTGTTTGAGGCTCCTGGTAGTATAGGAACCTATCAAGAATGGTAACGGAAGGTTGACCAGCCCCGACCGAAGACAACCATCCCTGATCATACTGGGGTTTTGGGAGGTATTTAAACTTCCGCTCAACTGCGAGTTCCTTCCTAAGCGTTCACCTATGTATCAGTTAAACGGAATTACATATATTACTATCATTATTAAAACATCCCCCCTGCGTTCAAGTGCTATTTTGTGAATTATTATCGAAATTGGAGTGCTCCGAAGGATTTTGCTTTCACTCAGTGTTCCAGAATATTTTTCTTATCTCAGTCACACTGATTTACAAAACACTTCACGCTAGTTTTGCTGAAATTTTCATCGTTCAATCAGTTGCATTGATATTCTAACTACTGTGTGTGTCGTACGTTTTCAGGATTGAATAATGATCATCGGACTGTGATGGCTGCACTGGAAACTGCTTTGCATCAGATGCACGATCTTGCTCGTAAGACTGGTGCAGACAGACCATCGGAAGAGGCCATGGACCTGGATCAAGAAGTACCGTCCTCAGCTCCTTTAAATCCCGATTCTGCGTTGTCTCCTTTCTTGCTAATCGATGAAGTTCGTCCTGGATCCGTGGCCGAGCAGTCTGTGAGTCACTTCGTGGAATGTTCTTCAGCATTTGAGGAATGTTTATCGATTATTTTTCCCGATTCCCTGCGTGGTTGCACTAGAAAGTGTATCTTCAAAATCGCTTTACCTGGGTCATCTGGTGTTGCCAAACTGATTTATGCAACAGTATGCCCAATTTGAATCCTTCCCTGCTTCCCGTTTCCATAAACCTTACTATTCTGACAGCATGCATTTGACGCATTTTCCCCACAACGGTAGGTGATCTGCAATGGAATAAATGAGGAAAATAATCCCGCTAGTTCATATTGGCCCACATCGTTTGGTGACGGGTGCTGTTGAATCATCTACTTCGTATGTTGAGTTTCCTCCACCGAAAGTCCCTAGCTTAGAGAGATGCATTATTGAATAATCCAGTTACTGGAATTGAATTTGCTTTCCAGCTTGTTTTTTGCTCTTCTTTGGGCCAGTACTGTCTCTTTTGTTGCACACTAGTTATTGCACTCTCGGGTGAGCATTTGGAACCCAGCCATTGTTGTTCTACATACTTTTTCCCGTTTTTCATTGACAGTCTTTTATTGGCTCCTTCTTGCGTTCTCGAATCCCGTTTGTACCAGTGCATGTGGAATACTAATGATAATAATATTAGTAATAATACTAATTTAGAAAGTTCTTTACCATTCTTACTATTCTTTTTCGTGCTTTTTCACACATTCATTCTGCTTGCAAGCTTGTAAGCAATTCCGCAAATATCATTGTCATAAATCACCCACAGTTAAGCCGCTAAAACGAATTAATACCGTGTCAACGAGCACAGATGCTCTTTCGCTTGATTAACTCCCAGGGGATTAACCTCACGCCGAAGGTCTCCTCAGATATCCGCTCGTAACCGCTTGAACTAATCCTGTTCCGTGAGAATGACTTTAATGATACAAATTCAGTCAGAATTGATGTTTGTCTTCGTCCCTGCTCCACACGTATATTTTTGTTTCATGAATTAATTTGTGCAATGTGGTTGAAATGAACGGAAGGAAAGTTGATTTACAGTTTCAGGGAGCGATTTGGGGATATGGTGCCGTTTATGCTCGTTTATGCCGTTCATGACGTTCATGCTCCGTGTATTCATTTATCCGTATTGGTCGTAGGTCACAAAGTGGATCCTTTATCCGTGGGATAAAACAGATAACCCCAAAATCGGGGGTGGTACAACATCGAATGTGAAACGATGAAGTCTTCTGGGACTTTTAAGGTTTTTATTTTTAAACCTATCCATTTTTTTCACTGGGATAAAAGAAGCTTCGAACTTGGATTGTTTTGTTACAGTTCCGCATGTGAATTACTTCATCATCATCGTCATCATATTTCATTCTGATGCTTTTACTTCACTCGGAATCATTTTAATACCCCGATTTCCTTCGCACTCTTTGTCCAGGGTTTAGAAGTTGGCGACTTGATATCGAAATTCGGCTCAGTTAATGCGGACAATTTTTCGGGATTGCAGGATATCGCATCGGTTATGCGTAACACTCCGCCACAAGTAGGTTGTTTACTCTGTCATGCCGGACGGTCGATGAGCCGTATCCATATTCGTATACCTCACCTGGAGTGAACCGCATTCCGTTTTATGCCATACTTTGTGTAATTGTTCGATAATTTCACTTCTCTTCAATAAAGAGTCTTCGATTAAAAGTTTTCCTCGCCATACTCTATGAAATATATTCCTGTTCTTTTCCCTGAGATCTTTTGTTCCCCATGGTATGAGAATTTACCTTCCGAGCATGGATTGATTTGGATTTCTGTGAATTGGGAATCCAAAACATCTGATGATATAAATGCAACTTTCTCAGGAGTGTTACTGTTTATCTGTTCCAGCCCAACTGTTGTCGGGACCTTTTGCGATGGTGCACTCCGCGATCAAGGTGTGCAGTCTTATGGAACAGCAATATGAACAATATTTTGTACTTGTCTGCGCGATGTCTTTTGTTATGGTGTCTTCTCTTATCTTCCGACTGAACTCCATTAGAAAACAGCATTCTGAACTGGTGAAAGTGTCGTGTCAAACAAGTGATATGGTAATCACCAAGTATGCGTAAAATTGGGGGGTCTATGATCTCTTTATTCACTTGTTTGCTTCTATCGTAATGGTTGTCTTTGTACCATACAGAAGAACCGGTCAGATGTCTGTAGCATGCAGTCGACGCTTAGTGGACTGCTGAATATCATGGCACTAACAAAGGTGTCTTGAATTGGCAGACGCTAACACAGCCTTCCGTAGGCATACTGAAACTTGATCTATGAGGAGTAGATGTCGCTACCAAATAATAAGATTTGTCTTCTTCTATTGTCTCCTTCATAACAGCTAGGTGGGAGCTGCACCAAACTATTTTGTAGTTACAAATTCTCTACCGGATATGGCTACACGAACACCCAAATTATCGAGGAGAGCTCGTAACTCACCTGCATCCTCACTTAGCAGTGCTATCCTCGCACGAGGACAAGACCGTTTCTATAATATTATTCATTACAAAGTTGAAGAGAAAAAGAATATAGCATAACTCAGTTAAACTGTTATCCGTGTTGAAAAAGTCAATAAACGGCCCCTAAATTCGAACATGATTTTGGCGCTGTTCACAAACAGGGGACATAATAGTGAAACTAACTTTCCTGACACATTATTAAGGGAGGTGCAGTGCCAGCGTATGGTGTGGTCGTCTGGATCACTTTTCGATCAAAGAAGGTAAGGTTTGTGGGTTTATAAAGGAAGTGTCTTTGTTCCGAAATTTAACGTAGCGGGGAAGCATGGTCGATCCATCTTCAAGCAAGTCGGAAAACAGCCCAATTCCTACGTATATACCTCTGCTTCTCTATTCTTGGTTCATACCAATGTGAATAATGCGGTAAACTTCAGGTTTTGCGATTTCCGGGTTAATGCTCGAATGCAATAGTCGATGAGTTGATCCAACGTTCAAAACTCGACTCATATTGTCTTACCGGTGACCCTTAGTACATGAGTTGCTTCGATCAGTTTTGTCGTGGAAGAATAGTAATGTAAACTCTCCCGTTCACGTTTCCAGACAGTGTCTTCAGACCTCCACCGCTTTCGTAGGAGATCATTTAAACTGTGATGAAGTCCGACTCTATGCGGACGCAACACTGAACACGGTTTTTATTTCGGTTTTCGAGAGACGTTAGATAATATTTCTAATATAATTATACAAGGTACAAGGTATTCTGTTAGTTGGAATTCAGTTCAATGCACACGTCTCCGCGCTTTCACTTATGACACTTCTCAGTCCAGTCTTCGTACAAGCAGTCACCTTTTGGTACCCAGTGAGGCGTGGTTAGAATGCACACCGATTTCTAGATCTAGAAGGTAATTCCATCACTTAGAGAGAGAAATTTCAGTACGGGGTTCTCAGGCATACCGCTCAAAGCTATGGATAGTTTGGTCGGTGTTACAAAGCTGGTCAGTTGTGCAAACATGAGATTTCGCCAAGTCGAACGGTTTCCGTCGAGGTTGAAGTACGTTGGTTATGGCTTCCGAAACGGATTTCACCCCACCCTTCTTGATCTACTTTCCCCCGCGTTTTTAGGGTGTCATTCCGTTGATTGTGCAGAAAACATCAAAACAGAACCGGATGTATCACATTGAATTGGTTAAACCAGCTAGCGCTGTCGGATTCGGGTGAGTCATGCACCGTCGTTTGACGCATCATCATATTATTGCACGGATTATCAGTGCGCACATACGCTCAGTATGAACGTGGTTGCGTTTTTAGTTGTTTATAATTTTTTTTATGAAAACAGTTTTTCTAAAACCAGAACAGTTGCTGAGTATTTCTCGTTGTTATCATCAGAAATTTCGGTTTTCTTTCCACTGTTGCACACTAACGCTGTCATCTTACACTGCTGGACGGGTTAAATTGTAATAATTTAATTCTAATAAGTTTTCTCCAGTTTCAACTGGGTGTTTTTCTACCGATACCTTTCCAAACGAAACACCGTTCAAATGTCTGTGCGATTCAGTAAAGTCGTTGGATTGACTTGTTTTGCTAACCAAACTCATTACGATACCTCGTTCGATGACCGCGACGTGCTATTCACTGAGTGATTCTCTCTCACTCTATCTCTCTCACTTAGTCAAAGTCTTGCTAGATTTATTGGTTGTAATGTTATACAGCAGGTCGGTTTCTAGTTAACCCATCCTGATGTGCGCTCAGACTGAGATAAACATTCTCCTAAAAGGCAATTTCTTTGTTCTGTTGTTTTTACCGTTTTGCTTTCTTTCTTTGGTGGCACTCATTTCGCATATTCTCACGGGTTTCACGCATTGATTCGACGGGTATTCTGAATGTTCAATCATCCTTGTGACTCATTTGACACGCTTTAGGTAGAGCACAGAATTAAGTTCCCAAGAACGGTTTATTCCGTCCGCCAGAGGATTAATCTGCACTCATTTAGTTCCAACTGATAGAGTTGTTAACATTTTGAATAAAAACACTGAAGGCTTCATTTTTTTCGTTTATAGTTTTACTTTCGTAGGACTGTTGATGACAATGATCTGATTCCGTCAGTTGTTACTTGAAAACACTGTTTTCCATGCACAAATCTGATTAGAAAAGCCAGAAAAATGGTTTCGCACAACATATCCGTGGGCATTTCGCTGCATCTTTACACGAGCATACTGCAGTCCAAATGATTTTTATAGTCAGTGAGATAAGAGCTGTGAGACGAAGACAAGATCTCTAATCACAACGGACAACAGGACACAACAACACAAGGAACGAAAGAGGATAGGGGTCGATCACTAAGGCTAATGTGACTAACCATCCACATTGCTTGCATAGATCGCAGTTGAGAGTATGAATGGCTAGAGGCTCGGTAAACTCCAGAAGCGGCCAACCTCCAAAATTTTCCGCTGCAGGTGCTCATTTTCTTTTTGATTTAATCAGTTCTAAACCTTCTTTGACAAGCTTAAGTGTTTGGGCTGCCATTGCTCTAAACAAGATGGAGCGGAACAGAATACGTCATTCGGTTTTTCGTTTGCAAAATCACTGTCTCTTGCTTCCCATATGAATTGCGTTCTCTCTGTTACAGGCTTCATGTGACGCCGTTGCCGAAACCACAAACAATGCCTTCGTGATCTTCCGTTTCATCGTGGCACCGACCAGATGCTCGTCCACGAAGTAGACCACCTGTCCCCTAAACACACACAGAAAGAAAGACACACCACTCTGTTCATTGCCTTCCTTCCCCCCTGTATCACAATTCCCATTTACAAGGACTGTTTCCATTTGATCTGCATGAAAGAGAGAAACAGATATTTTTGCGGTACTCCGGTCTTTTTCTATTTGCATTTCTACATTTGATCACCATTTTCAATGTGGGCAGGAAATCGTCCCTTCTTTTTCTTTTCATTATTTATCTCGGCTGACCAAAAAGAAGATCCGAATTTCTCTGTTCACCTCCTTCCCTTTAATTTACCATTGCTCATGGACTTTTGGTTGTCGGTCCATATATATTTTGCAAACCAAGACTCACTACATGGCATAACACTCTATGAATCAACAAAGGAACATCTTTGGAATGGACTCAAAATGTGTGTTTGAGGCCTACGACATCCGAGTCCGGTGGTCGCTAATGGGTGTTTAACGCTCCAGTACGTGTTTCGCAGCAATGGTTTGCAGTATTTTAGACTGGGGAAGTGGGAATAGGATAACAGTTTTAGGGGAAAGGACTCCACACGGTGGCGCATTGGGAACATATGTATCAGTGACCAGCGTCAGGTAAAATCACAATTCAACTCAGAAAAGGGACCAAGCGAATTGTGTTGCATTCTCCACTGTTCGGAATTTTAGCTCTCCAGAATGCGTATAATTAGGAGGATTCAATATAGAGTAAAAGGTTGGTTGGATATACTTTAAGACAGCAAATAAGGTGAAAAATAAGAAAGATGTATGAGTATGTGAATATTGTGAATTGTAGGAGATATCTCAAGCATTAAGAGTGGCTGGGTTGAAAGCGGGTTGACGAAGACAAATTATTTTTTATAACGAGGGATTGAGTTTTTCTTTCAGTTGTGTGTGTGCGTGTGTGTGAGTCGCTCGGTGTCCTGATTGTCGTGGTGCCCAGTTGCGCTGATTTTATCAGTTGGTGCATTCACGGTTATGTACTGGAACTAACGATTGGAAACTTGGGATATCCACTGCAGTTGAGAACACCCACTGGGAAAGCTATTGTTCCTGTGAGGAATCAACGGAATCCACACAACAAGGAGCTTCGAACCCCAATAATCACTGAGATCACAGTCACCAGAAAAGTGTTTTTTGTTGTTGAATCTTTTGTGTCAATCAGACCAGTCAAGGAACAGTGACCCACAGTTCAATTTTTCTTATCCTCACTAGTCCACAGTCTCTTTTCCAGTGTATAGTTTCAACAGGGGAACTTTAAAAGTACAGGTCGGTTTTCATCAGAGTCTCGTTATCATCGACCGTGGGTGTGTCAAGCAATAGCTAACCGAGAAAGTCCATCTGTTGAGTGTTCAGGAAATAAACAAAATCAAACATTGAATTGTCTTTGAACGTCGAGGTGCACTCGCTGTCAGCGCTATTTTCCACTCAGGTATTTATTCTTGCTTGTTTGTTTATGTTGTTTTGCTCCACAGTGCCAATCCTCTAGTAAAGACGAGGTTACAAAAACAAGCTTGTTCGCATTGATTTGGTCTATTCTCGCCGTCGAGTTTGTCTGATTGGGGATGGTGGTCTCAAGAAATGCGTGTCTGATTGCTTCACTTACTTAGTTAGCCTCACTTTCAAAAACAACAAAACTGAAAGACTTAGCCTATTTTGAAACTATCGGGGTGATTGATTGCTTTAGTGACATGTTACGAATCTGTGGGCTATGAGGGGATTCGTGCGAACGTTGTGCTACTTGGGAATTACGTCTTAGACGGATGCATTACTTGCGAACAAACTCTAGTGCCGACCGATCAAAGGTATATCGGGAGATTATTCCGCCCCCAATGTCCGTTTCTAAGTGGAACGTATTTGTCCAGTTGTACCACTGTCACATGCAAATAGCACTGCGATTGGAACGTGATTGATCAAGTGAGGGAAAACCACAAACGGATTATCGAACTCGCATGAACTGATCGAAGTGTAGCCATCCATCTTGATCAGCATGATTATTGCTAGTTGCCTGAAGTGAATGTCTGTATGCGGATGTGCTGCACGTGCGCAGAGTATTGTGGCGGCAATGAACACTCAGAACCGATCCGTAAGTGATAACTTCACTTGGTAAGGACCATGCGCGTAGATGAACCATATTATTTGGTAGTAAACGGTTGTTTACTCTGACATTACGTTAGTGAAAAACGGGCTTGGTGGGCATCGTGGTGCGTTTGTTCTTGGCCCAATATCATGTATTTTCTGACGACATAGTACCGTTTATACAAAACTGCAGTATGCACATATATACATTTGGCAAGGCGATACAGGGTAAGATGCATAAACCAGTAATTTTGGCTTTTCCATTCAACTGTGATTAAGACGCCCAACAGCTTATCTTCTTCAGTATTTTCCGATGAATTTCCCTCTACTTCGAATACAAAACGAGAGAGAGAGAATTGGCCTCGAATTTCCAGGGAATTTAATTCGAAATGATCCGCAAATCTATGTACGGATTGGGAAATTACGGGGACTCCTGGTACAATGGAGGTCGACGAGCTGTGCTCTTCGTTTAGCAATAATCGCATCAAATTAACCATTTTTGTTACACCCTACTGATGTTGTCCAGCAATTACTAAATCAGAAAAGATCATTTAAAGCTGGTACGCTAAACAGTGTAATTAGTTCTGGTCGTTACTCTTTTCGATATCGTACAACGTAATATCTGAAACTCCCCTACATCCCGAGTTGTTTCTGTGTTCATTATCGTGCTCGACGAAGCATCGAAAGCAGACATTTAGGCGTTATTTCATTGTGTAAAAATCCTATGTAATTTGATAAAAGAGCGCTCTGTGAAACCCAGGTTTAGTGGCTTCATGCTATTGGATCAAAACATAAATCAGAACATTTTAATTTAAACTCTCATTTTCAAATAAAAGTACGAGGAATGAAACTCAGTTCGTTTACCACTGCAAAGATACACGAAGGAGTTAGAACTCAGGCGGTGCAACGGAACTACGAACATAAAAACGTCATCTCTGATGTAGTTATGACCTGTACAAATTGGAAGTTGCAGCTCTGTTTTGGTCACATTTGCTACCGAGTTATTTGCGGCACTTTGTGTGTAAGATCAAATGAAAACGTTACACATGTGAGTTATGTTCTGGGTGTGTGAATCGGTCAACTTCATGTTTATGGTAAATCATTTTTTGTAGTGAATTGTAGCCTTTGTCTCGTCACGGTTATCGATCCACGGTTACTCACCTCTAAACATTTAGCTTTTGACCAACGGGAAATTCAGGTTATAGTATGATGCATTCTCTCAAGTTTAGGGGAGAAGAAAGTCTTTTAGATAACTCATTAATATCTGTTTTTGATAAATAATAATGACGCATTTCGAATGCATGTTTTTATGACTCATCAGTTGGAATTGATGTAAAATGAAGATTTGCTCGAAGAGTTCTTTTCCTTTCTTTTGGGTATGGTGTGGCTAAGTGGGAGGGTAGATATTTATGATCCATCAC